TAGATTAAGGACTTAAAAGCAAGTCGCTAAGACTCTTACTACTAATCTTCGCGCTTCTTAGAGGACTTACTATAGAGTAGTTAGAGCTACTAAAACTATAAAATAAAAAGTAAGCTCTTTTTAGTATTAAATATTATATTATAAAGAGAGACGCTATAGTAAGTATTTATATAAACTCTTTACTCTAAAATTCGAGAAGTATCTCCTATACTCTACTAATAATAAAGTTAAGCTTTAATAGTATCTTTTAGCTATTCTACTATATTTTCTTATATAAAGTAGAAATTATAATTAATTAAGCTAGATAGACTATAAATATACTATAGGTTCGGGTCTTTATATAGTAAGTATTCTATCCGCTTACTTAAGATCTCTTATAAAGTTAGTAGGATCTCGATATTCTAGATATTGTTACTATTATTATTATAACGAGGTCTATACTCGGATAAAGTACTTAGAAGATTTTAATCTACTATAAAAGTAGTAGTAGAATCTAAACTAATATAACTAGAGATAGCGTAAGTCTCTAATAAATTAATTACGAGGTATAGTATAGTCTTAATAGTACGTAAGTACTACTTAGCGGCCCGACTTAGATTAGAAACGTCGAGAAGTAAGACTAAAACCTTAGTAGTAGCTTAGAGATTTATATTAGCTATAGTAGAGCTATTCTATTCGAGTACTCTAGTAAGAATAGGAATTATAATTTTAATATACTTATAATCCTTCTAAGCTAATAAGTCTCGTACTAGTATAGTAAAAATATTAGAGCTCTACTTACTATTAATACTATATAAGGTATTAAGAAGTATAGTATACTAAGTCTCGACTACTATAGATTATAGTATAGTATCGTACGAGAGTATTCTAAAGTAAAGTAGTAGAAAGATAGCTATAAAAGCTTCTAGCTTATTATTATCTATATTTTTGAAGTTCTAGTTAATAATCTTATAGATATAAATAAGGCTATACTTCTCTCTAAGTATAGAGATAACGAGCTATATATTATCGGTACTAGATTTAAGGAGTTTAAGCGCTAGCTCGACAAATTTTACGAGCTTATCGTCTCTAAGTAGTCGGCTCTTTCTCTTCTCTTTTAGAACGTAATATAGCTACTTCTTTAGCAAATTTGTATAGTCGTTATTATTTGAAGGTAAGCTATTTAGGTAACCGCCTTTAGCGCTAGATAAAGGAGCAGATGTCTAGCGATTATAGCCTTTCTAACTAGGAGTAGCGCTATTAGAGGAGCTCAACTTGTGCTTGAATCTGCACCTGTCGCCATACGGACACTTCTTGCCGGTCTCGAAAAATTTGCAGACTCCTTTCATCATCTTGTGCAGCCGATGAGGCTGTCTGTTAGCCAGTGCTGCTGTGATCTGGAACAGTAGCCTCGGGACTCAGAGAAGAGAAGATAAGCAGCTTTTCTTGAGCAATACGAGATTGGCCGAATTAGCATTGACTCCTCCAGGTCACTCTCTGGTCAACTGGATTACTGCAAGCGCCGCAGTCGCTTGTCATCATGCTGCAAGTTCGAAACACTGAATGTGGAACCCCAAATTCAGTGCATTACATCTGGCTTGCGCAAACATCTTTGAATGGAGGGAGGATGCCAGGAATTCCTATTGATTCAGCACTCTTCCCTACGGCATTGAGCTTTCCCACTATGCATGACTTGCTGCTAATCGTCCTGGAGACAGCTAGTTGTGTTTGCTTTCAGTTGTGTGCTCGCAGCCTCGGAGCCTACAGCATGCACGCTTTTGCGGCCAGCTGCACTTGAACCCACTTCTGCGATACAGATGCATGAGGGCGAACTGTGACCATTGGCGACCATGCAAGCTCGTAGACACTTACGGTCGCCCTCATGCAGCATACCCACGTCGCATGCTGTGCATCCCTACGTTGCACGCCAGCTTCGCAAACGCCGCAATCTGTTCACCCGACCCCTCCCCGGGGTCAAGTGGTCCGGGCAGCAGGCGCTACTGGCGAACGTTCTCGCACGCAATCTGTTTGCCCTTTGTCCTCGAAGAAGTTTTTTGCTGCTCTTGCATCTGCAGGTGGCCAGCGCGCGCGACAGTGTTAACTTACAACTCCTCTCTCGTCCTGCTAGCTCGCAAAAAGCGCTACTTCGCAACTCCTCCGCAATCTTGGTCGCTTGGTTCTCAATTCCGCTAATCGATGACGCACACTCTCGCGCTCCCAGGAGCTACTGCGGCTGAATTGTGCTAGTTGATGGACACGGCACATACTGCAAAAGGTGTGTGCTGTCTCCTGGATGGAGGTCGAGCTGCAAGCATGCGAGGATTAAGTGAGCTTTGATATTGCGATGAGCATGCTGCCTCGAGGGACATAACGGATGTGCAGACAGTCAACGAGCTTCTGCCCCTGGAACAAGCGAGTCTTTTCAACGCGCCTTTCCGTCCCTTACCGGCATGCTTTGTCTTGTCTCTGCTCGCTCGCGCGTCTTGCGCATCTCATGCTGTGAACGGGTCGTTATGCGACGCATTACAAGACTCCCCGATAAACAGCAGCTTGGTAGGGCAAAGGTGTGTATAGCGGCTGGAAATTATGTCGACCAGGATTCGCCTGTCAATACATGAAGGCCTAGCACACTGTTCCGAGTCTTTTCATGTTTTCGGCAATGCTTCAAAGCGCACCAGGACGACCACGACATTCCAGAAGTGGTGGTTGCACATTCTTCGAAATTTCAGCGCCCCATTGACTCTAGCGTCGGATAGATGTTTCTCCGCCGTCACAGTCGCACGCGCGCCGGCCGGCCTTAGGCCATCACCTCTTAGACCTCCGTGATAATCAAGGTTGCCCGAGTTGACTGCGCCCTCGCCTCCAGGACATCCATGTGCCTCGCGATCATGGGAAACAATATTTCAGAAGTGAATCACGCCTCGCCTCGGCACGTCTACGCGCTGCGGGTAAAGGGTTTTTGTCATGCGCAATGCAAACTATCAACCAATGATTTCGAAGCTTTTCACTGGCAAGCATGGCTGTCACAGAGCGACCATGTTCTTGCTCTGAAGGAAGGACATGCAATCTCATTCTATCCTGGATTCCTCAGAATTGACCAAAGTGACGCTGCACCGATGTCCTTGTGGGCCAAAGTCGATCGTAAAAACTTCGAGAACGATTTAACCAGCCTCGTTGCACATGGCAAGTATCAAGATCACAGTCTATTGGCTGAGGTGGACAGGCCGAGACGCGTGGAAGGAGCACAGATCGAAACAGCGCTTTCGGAAGAAGACGAACGCCAACTTGCTGATGATATCGCCTTCTTGACTTGTGTGTCGCAGGGCCGAGATGGGGTAACGGCAGCAGCGGTACAGCAATTTCCCAACAAGCCATTCTTGCGGGCAACAGTTTCTGCCAATGCGGGCATACCAGAAGCTACAAAGACTGCAGTTCAACGACTGTTCGCTCACCTTGAAGAATGGTCGCGGGGGAAGTCGACGAGGAAGGACACTCTGTCGAAAGTCCAGACCACGCTCGTCACCCTTCACCGAGACCGCATCTTTGATCGACTCGGCATTGTAAAGAAAGCAGGAACCATTGGGTGTGGGATAGAGAAGTCCGTTGAGATGATTTTGTCACAAGCAATGTCCACAGGTTCCCATGATGAGGAGCAGCTTGGCTTCCATCGGCGTCTCAAGAAATTTCAGCAAGCTCTCCAGCAGATCATGGCCTCGCAGGTGGGCGACGAAGAACGAAAAGATTTCATTCGGCTTTTGCGGTGCGCCAACAAGCTGATGTACTTCCAAGATCTGATTTCTGAGCACTTTGGAGTGGACTGGATGCGACAGCTGCGTGCTCTTGCGAACTATCACAGAATCTTTCATTATCTCATGACATTAGCGACCCGCGCGAAAGCCCTGCAGTACTTCTTGTCTTATTTGAACTATCGCGTCTCAAAGTTTGGCGCAGTTATCATGGTTATTTTACGCGCAATATAGCCTGCAACGATGTCTCGGGAACGGATAACGTCCTTTTTGTTAATGCCGCTAGGAAGCTAATTTCTATATCCTCGAAGACGACTTATATAGCGCCTAGGACTTTATCTATACTACTAGAATCTAATCTCGAGGCAACCTAGTCTTAGTACTATAGGATAGAAATTCTACTCCTTAATAATAATATAGAGGCTATAGGATTATTTTCTATTATTACCTACTTATAGAACGACTAAAACATCGCTAAGCTCTACTATAATACTAAGAACGAGGCTATATATATCTCTACTTATAAAATGTTTTATAAAGAACGAATTTTACTTCTAAATTTAGTACGCTCTACTCGTTTATTATACTATCGTATACTTTATATAATAATAATTAAGTCTACTACGGGCTATTTATTAGTAGACTATATATCTCCGAATTTACTACTACTTAAATAGCTAAAACGAGGATATTATCTATACCTTTATAAACCTTTAAGTACTCTTAGCCTCTAGATATACTACTACGTCTCTAATTATTTTATTAGTAGGTCTACTAAGATTAGCTAGAGAGATTCTATTATACTCTAGAGCTACGTAACGTATCTTATAGTATTATCTAACTAGGATATAGTAATATAGTAATATAGTAATACTAGGAAGCTAGAAGGTAATCTTAGTACTACGCTATTCTAGAATCGGAGGTTTCGTATTCTTTCTATAGATATTGCCGAAAGTAGACTAGTATTAGGTAGCTATATCTACTATATATATAGAAGTAATACTTATAGCTTATAGTATAATATAGAATTATAGCAAATACTTATAGTACTAATAATCTCTCTATTTAATAAGTATATATTCTATTCTAATTTCGGAGTACCTAGTACCTACTCGAGCTCTCTTATATATATATAAGTAGAACTCGAGGTAATTTAGAGAGAGGAGTTATAGCGCTTTAGAAACTTAAATAGTAGACTTACTCTTATTACGCACTAATAGGCGTACTACCTTAATATAGTAGACTTCTCGTACTATTAGATTATAATACCTAGGAGTATAATAAAAATAGTATAGATATAGACTTTAGACGATACTTATACTAAAGCGCATATTTTTAGCGATCTTTAGTTAAAGCTCTCGTACGACTTTTATAATCTCAATCTACTTAAAAGGTACTTTTTAGCCGGGGACACTAATAGCCCCGACCGAGAGGGCCACCGAGGGCTCGCTTAACTTAGCGACTCTCTTATAGGATTTGTCGTAATAAGTGACGGAACAGAGCGGAACCTTCCCCGAGGTAAAACTCAAGACCTTATATTTGATCTTATCCTAACGCACGGAATGTAGCTATATTGCAAGCATCATTATCTGAAGTTCGAAGCAAAGAACACTACGGCAGAATCGCGAAAGTGCTTCGTCTTGACCAATGGCTAAAGCTTAGCGAACGTCAAGTCCACAATGGCGTTCAGCTAACTACTCTAAAGAACGTTGTAGCGGCGCTCGTTGGAGCTGTCTGGCTAGACTCGCACAGTTATCTTGCCGTACTGAAGCTGATGATACAAATGGGGTAAGTCGAGGAAATGGCGAGGCGTGGAAGTCGACTGAACCCACAAACTAGATTATTGAACAACGCGTATCATCATAACGAACAACAAGCGGCTGCGCAAGTCCATGAGGAACGACATAGCGATTACTGGTCACTTTTGACGGAGAGTGATCGAACAGTTCCGGATGCAATCCAGCTACGATCTCCCAATTCGCATGATTCGCCAATACAGATGATGAAATCGTATCATACCCCCGGCGAATGCGGACCGAAGGGAGCAATTCCTCTCCGGCTGCAACGATTGGCATTCGCCCACCCAGAGCCCTGGAGCTGTATCCATGCAGATGGCAAGCCTTGAACCCTCGTCGATAGAAGGGATATCACCTTCAAACGACAACGGATCTCCCACTTCATGAGTTCAGCTGCCGCTATCCGAATCTCGAGAGCTAGACACATCGGACAAGCAACAGGGGTCGGCAAATACAGAAAGTATTATGGGGTCATCCTCGTCCATGCAAGAATTAGACTCGGACGAGGTCGAAGGCACTCAGCAAATCTCGGTCACACCTTTATCCTCTGCAACGTCGCAAAATCCATCAGGAACGCGAAACTATGGCGGCGTTCGAAAGCCGCCTGGACGAAAAGACAACCGTAAGACGCCAGGAAGGCCTCGGGCAGACAATCCCGCAACGTTAATCGAGAATTACATCAGTTCGGAGGATAGGAAGGGTCACGATGCGCAACGGCGTGCAATGGTCTTTGCTGCGATGCGGACCTACCAAGCCATGATTCTAAAAGTTCCTGGCAATGGAAAAGCTGGGCTAGCTGCACTAGCGATCTCAGTCGGTGACAGCTCGGCGCTCTCCATCCTCAAAGCTGCAGTGCAGGGTCTGCGATCGCAAACTCTAAGCGATATCATCCGCATAGATAGAGCAATGACTATCTCAGAGCGTCTTCGTGTGATCAATCGCACGGACTGCTGTATCGAGCTTCTCCGATTGATGCGTAATTATCACACCGTGGCGCTGTGGAGGGATATCACGACTACCAAATGGGGTGGGGTGGATGCATTCGTGGTCAGTACACCAGAAAGCCTTGCCTCGGAGGTCCCTAGAGCTGGCAATCCCCTGCATATCATAAAGGCTCATGTCAGCCAAGGTATGACCAGCTTTGGGAATGCTATGGAGGGCGCTGAAACACCATGTATCGGCAGGCGTCTACGAAAGTTAGGCGAAAGGTTAGATCGACTCGTAAGAGCTTGGGGTGAGGGAGTCTTATTGCTCCTTGGCCAGACATTGACGGAGACAAGGTCAGCTGTGTCCCCGTCATATCCTGCTATCCCTGCTGATCGTTACGAACAGAATCTTGGAACCACGTGACGGAGATTTCTATCGACTTGTCGAGCTGATGGACGTCTCTGAAGGTGCGCGAATTCGAGAGATTAGCCATGTAGCGGAGCGAATTCTTCAATATTTCCGGACCGAACCTTCACAAGCCGCTCGGCTGGTATTGGAAATTACTGATGACGAGATACTTCGAGAGATTCCGCGACTGTCTCATGACTTCGTGGATTTACTGAGACCTTTAGCCGAGGATTCGAGGTCGTCATCTTGGTCCCACCTCTGATGGGATCGGAGCACTGTAAGCCATGACCCGGCACGGCACCATCGGCCCAGCAACGCAGAACACGACAGTATATTGGGCTCTGATACGGCTTCTTCTGGCTGAACCGTTGACAATCATGCGTTATGGAAAATCTACCGTGAACATTGCAGAGGAAAAATCGTGGCTCTTCTCTCGCCTGGTGTTATTGGGTTAGAGCTATGCACGAATGCTACTGATGATTGCGCTTTGGGCATTCCTCAAGCAGAAAGCATTTGCACCTCACAGGATCATCTGCGCGGAAGACATTTTTGGCACAAGGGGACCAAAACACTCTTGCAGCCCGAACAGATGCGGCGACGGGCCATTAAATAACTCTGACAGGACCTTCGGGTTGACTGGTAGAGAAGGGGGTAAGAGCAATGCGCACCTCGTCAACTCCCAACGCGTGGGCTCTATACATGACGTCAAGGAGCCACGAGCAAGATTTCACTTACGCGCTGTGCGCATAGCGAAGTCTAGCAGAGAGAGCCCATGTGCTTCACATCGAGTGTGCTCTTTGCGCCTTCATGTTCTCGATACCTAGTACCCACTTTCCTTTCTGCGATTCGGGATTGTGGATGGGGAAGTAGACATACTTGAGCGACGGAAATCGTAACATCATTACGCAGTGCACCAGGATTGGTCGCTGGTCCAATCGATCGCTTCGCGTCTGCTACAATCGTGACAAGATGAACGGCTGCTACACTCCTCGACTGGCAGCGTCTCACGCATACATTTCGTTTCATAGTTCAAGCTACTGTGTGTGGTGGAAGCGGACAGAGTTTGTCGTGCATAGATAGATAGATAGATAGATAGAGTTTATTCCGCCCGGCGCTAAGTACCTAAAGGGCTCACTACGGATATTACGTAATCGCTTTTGCTTCCCGAAAACTTCCTAAACTCCTAATAGCCTATTTAGTTTATCCTACCTTAGTCTATTTTCTTAGTTCTTCTATTCTATATAACTAGAAACTTATACTAGGTTAGTATACTATAAGCTCTCTTAAAGCTACTTCTCTAAGTTTTTACTATCTTATCTTTAGTAAGTAAAGCGTATCTTACTATTAGTATAAAAGTATATTATAAGGAAATAGTTAGTAGAAGTAGATATAAAGTTACTAGTATTATATACTTTATATATCCTAGTTAACTATTTTCTAGCTAGAGTAAAGTTAATATAGTAAACTTTCGAGATAGCTTATAGCTATTATAAACTAGATAGTTACTAAAACTACTTCTATTATAGGTTTCTACTTCTTATTATCTAATACTACTTTTCTTTTAAAAAAGAAAAAGAGATTACTTCTTATAGTATCTATATATTATAGTATCTATAGTCGGAGATTATTCTATAGATAGTACTAGAATAAGAAATACTTAATAGTT